CGCGGTTTTCCCCCTCAGCAAATGTTGGATGGACCAAGCAAACCACACGGAGGTGGACCAAGCATCGCAAGGCAGGGGGGGGTCTACCCCCCCCCGGCACGCTTGGGTGGACCCAGCAAACCACGCGTGAGGTGAACCAAGCATCGCAACGCCGGGGGGGGGCAGAGGAGACTCCATCTAAAAGTATCTACAGCAAGTAGAGTGTACAGCAGTATGTAGTCTTGTACCTGGGTTAGTACTACTGCCGTTAGAGGTGTGCGTGCATACAATAGAGTGGCTGCGGTGACATCTATCTAGCGTACACGGGCTCCATCGCAAAGCACCTGAGGAGTTCTGTTGGTGCTGCTGGTGAACACCTTTGTACGCACTGCAGCTGTGTGTGTGAACCTCTCGCTGTGTGTACCATGGCGGCACTGCTGTGATGGTACATACAGGTACTCCATGCATATTGTATGCATACGTAGCAGATCTTGTAGCTTGTAGCAGCAGCAGTCACCCCGCCCATGGGAGGGAGCCCCAGGATATCCCTCAGCACAAATTTTTCATTGGTAGGGGGGGGGGGGGGGCAACACCTACGGACATATATGTCGCTTCTTTGTGACCTGGGCTGCGGGAGGTGCGTCCCCGGGAACCAAAACGCCTGTACAACATCACATCATCAGCAGCAGCAGACAACCCAACCTACATGTAGCAATACAGCGTAGCCATCCTACCCGCCAGCCTCCTGCCAGGCTGCTCTGCTGCAGGCTACTACTACTGCTGTAACACAGACGGTTGCTACTGCCATGAGCTAGCTCGGAACGGATTGTCAGACACCAAGCAGTGTAGGTTCGTAGCAGCTCTCTCTGTGTGATGTTAGCTCTGTGCCTCGGTTTAGGAACCAACCACAGAGCAGCGTGGATGTACCTTCTCCTCGTTGCGTGTACATGGACAGGTACAACCACCCATCACAGACGCACACACAGCATATACGGCGTTGTCATCACAGCACTTCCTGCACGTATCTCTCTCTCTCTCTCTGTATCATCTCTATTTCTGCTCGAATTCACGCTGTGTCTCTCCACTCGACTCGGACTTGCTCGAGATTCAAACTGCTGCTGCTGCTGGGGCACAGCACAACTGCATACCCCGGACTTGAAAAAAACTTCAAACAGGGGGGGCGGGGGGGGGGCAACACCTACGGACATATATGTCGCTTCTTTGTGACCTGGGCTGCGGGAGGTGCGTCCCCGGAAACCAAAACGCCTTTGCCAGCAGCAGCAAGCAGCAGCAGCAGCAAGCAACACAGCAGCAGCAAGAACACACAAACAGCCAATAGGCCCCAGCCTGCTCACCTGCATGGCTATTACTACTTGGTGTCATCCACCACAGACGCTTCCTACGTCACCTTTAGCATGGAACTTGAAGGACCCACGCACTGCCAGCAGCCAACATGGTATAGCGTAGCAGCACATATATTTGTATACAGCAGCAGCAGCAGCTAGCAGCAGCACAGGACTACCTGTCAAAATGTCAACCCTCTCCTCCAAGCGTCATAGATAGGCGCACACATAACCTACGGCAAGTACAGTTGCTGCACGTGCGTCTCGCTCTGTGTGTATGTGTATGGCTCTCTCTGTCTGTCTGTCTGTCTCTCTCTCTCTCTCTCTCTCTCTCTCTCTCTGTCTCTCTTTCTCCTCGAATTCGTGTCATCATGCTGTGTCATCATGCTGTCGCTCTCGGCACGCAGGAATCAAACTACTGCGGGGGCACGGAAACCATGCATACCCGCCTTTTACATATTCTTCATTCGTAGGGGGGGGGGGGGAATCCAAATTCAAACCGTCTGCCGGACCACACCACACCAGTGGCAGCAGTGCTTTGTCCCCACCAGGCAACAATCTTCTACCTGCCCGGCTCCCTGCTGCCGCGGACGCTCGTGCGTAGCCGACTGTAGGTATCGCTGCTCGGCTATGCTGCTGTTCCTCTTCTTGCAACTCTTCGGCAAGTAGCTTCTTGATGCCGTGAGCTCTATGCCGCAACCCGCCTCCGTCAACCCGGCGACCTTCCTCGGTGATATCTTGGGTGACTACCGCTACGATGCCTCTATCGGAGAACTTAGCCTGCAAGAGCGCCTTACTCTTCTGCTGGACCGAGCTACATTGCAAGGACAGGATCGACACCTGCAGAACAGTAGTATCTGTCCCAGCAACTTCGTCATACCTAGGGAGCTGCTGAGGACCGTGCCGTGCCGAGGAGACGGCAACTGTGGCTACCATTCTCTCCTCAATGGAGTGTACGTGGACAATAGACAGGTGCGCCAATGTCCTTTGCGCTCGTGCATAAATGCTCCGGTTTGATGTACTTTCTGATAGCAAGTTTGACTTATTTGGTTAACTCATTGTGCGAGCTTGGCTTTCTACACACTGTTCGACAAACTTTATATGCTTGCCGATGATAGTGACGAATGATGATGACAAACTTAATATCTTAGTTGATGATCTGCGATACCACTGAGCTTTGAAGGAATAGTAGCCTATTTTACAGTAAATAGAATTAATGATGGACCACATGATGTATTTTTCCGATATCATGTGTTCACCCACACGTATTTCTTCAACCAGTTGGCTTTGTACAGCCTGTTTTTGAGGCCAATTTTTCGGCAATGGTGATGGGAAATGGAGCAAAATAGCTCCAAATGGCGGGCCTCCGGTGTTGCCTCCTGTGGTGCTCCTTTTTCAGCTGGGGGGGGGGGGGGCGCTTGGGCTTGCACGGCGATCTTCCGCGCAATCGCACCGTCAGCTCACTGTGTTCGCCTGCTCGCTTCGCAGTATCGATATCGTTCGTATCGATTGATTGAACCGATGTCCAACACGATAATACATAGTACAGTATGTATGTAGTACTCCCCGTGAGGGGTTGTGGCTAGCTGTAAACTCCCCAGCAGATTTTGCGCTATTTGCATAAGGCATCTTTGGGGGGGTTGGCACAGATATCAGGTGGGAGCAGTTGTAGAGCAAGACACGTGCCACGTACGGCTTGCCTAACGCTAGTCCTACAACGACCTCAATCCCGACTCCCACAGCACGTGTGCCCCTTACGTTGTTCCGGTTGAATTGCGCTCAGCGTTTGCATCAAAAGAAAAGGCCGCATACCTGGCGCCGATAGCCTTCATCCGACTATATAGTGGGGCCGGTGCCCGGTGTAGTGTCGCGGTGCTTTTTTTTGCGTGCACAGACGGAATAACCAAGTCATGCGTCATCCTGTACTGGAATAGTGCCGGTGAAAATACAGGGCCTCTACAGCAGTATGTCTTAGTACACCATCAAAATACATTCGTTATCGACATCGCCCAAGGCTTGCAAGTAGCCCAGGAAAGTTTGCGCGAAAAAAAAATCTTACGTTGTATGCATGCATACACAGCAGAACTTAGTCCACGTGGTATGGCGCTCCTATAAAGAGGGTCGCAGCGACAGCTCTCCGATGAGTCAGCATGGCAGCAGCCATCGTCTAGAGCACCCTTAACAAGCTGGATTGCGCCTGGTCCTTCACAGCAGTGCTGTTGAGTTCCTGCTGATATTCGCAGTGATTATTTTTGTTGAAATCTGCATGTGGTGTACATACAAAACCGAACGCTCACCTCAAATCCACAAGGAAGCACTCCCGACTCCATGTGAGGAAGCCGATAGTCATCCTCGACGACGGGAGTCTCGGAATGCCCACAGAGATCGCCCGCGACCTTCAACCGGCGGGCACAATCGTGCACCAGCGTCCGCACTTGTGCTGGCCGAAGTTGATGGCATCCTCCCGTCTGTGCAGCATCCACGCAGGGCGTGGTCAACAGTTCTTCCATGCTGCTGGTGGCCCAGTTGTCCGTCACAGGCGCCACTGGTGGGTCGATCCACTCACTCCAGTCTAGCGTCAGGTGGTCGGGCTGGGTAGACTCTGCGGGAACCGCGCTCGGAAAGCATACCAGAGTCGATCCGGTCAAAACTCCAGAGATGAGAGGTAGTCGAGAGAGCCGCATCTTCCTGGCGATCTTCGCGGTACTGGCTCACCCTCTTGTCCCGTCGTGTTGCACGACAAACATCGAACCATCCCCCAGTGTGCTTGTACTGCTACACCGTTCTGCTGTTCTCCCTCTCTCGCTTCAGCTTCCAGATTCCAGAGAATACATGACTGGCCAATGCGTGCGTGCGACTGCGTACCTGCATAGCATACCTGCCCCTGGCAAGACTTGGGGCAGGTTCGGCACTGTTGGTTTCGACGAATCACATCCGTTGGTGTGGAAGTCGGGATGTCATGATGTGCGTCCGCAAACCGCAAACGCGCCGCTGTGGCGCTGTGGGTACGCCGCACAACGCAGTTTCTCCCCCCGCACCTTGCATACCTGTTGCACACCCAAACACCCACACCAAACGCACCACGCATTTGCACCTCATGCACTGTCCTCCTTCCAGCCGCATTGGCATTGGAGCAGAACGACAATGCCCACAGAGCCTTTCGGCATTGCTCACTACCTTTTTTTCTCTTTTTTCTTTTTTTTTTTCTCTCTTTTTTCTCTCTTTTTCTGTGCCAGATGGCCTTTTGTCTCTGCTTGCGTTGTGAAGTACCAAGATTGAACCAAGGGGGTGTACCTCTTTCTCTCCGGCCCATGATAGATAGTGACTGCTAGTCTCAGTTGATACCTCGCATAGCGCGAAGAGGGAGTGGAGGATCCCAGAATATCTGTCGTTGATTTCTATTGACTTGCGGACCCCTCGGGGCCAGTTTATTTGAGTGTACCTTTTTAGGGTAAGTTAACCTGTGACCACGGGAATCGACCGCGTCGAGTGTTGGATCAGTACGGACATACGAAGGTACTGGGTAGAGAGAGATCGGAACGGTTTTTAATGCGAAGACAACAACAACAACAACAACAACTACTTAAATGTACAGTCTGGTCTCCGGCGGAGGGAAGATGTGTGTGCGTTCGTCCCCGCGAACAGAGTAGACTACATGATGTATCACATATATGCAGCTGGGGTCATAGCCTATAAATAATAAATGGGACGAAGACCACGGGACAAGTTCCTCCTGCGGTGCTGCCGTGCTGCCCTTGCGAAAGTGAGTGTAGAGTTCTCACGATAACACATTGCAAGGGTTCAGTCCCTCGCCCTCGTACTGCGAGTGGTCTGAAGGACCGTAGACTATGAACTCACGAATTATTCATCGTGTCCCGCCTACTGTTGAAGTCTCCTCGCCCTCGTACTGCAAGTGGTCTATAGGGCCATAGTCTAGACTATAAACTCACGAATTATTCATCGTGTCCCGCCTGGTCCAGTATGTTGGATGTACTCACAGCATCAACAGATTATTGCGAGCAAGAATTTCCCGAGCAGATGGAGCGGGGAGTTTGGGGGTTCAATGGTTGCTATGGATTAGATTTGGTGGTACCAACTTTATCACATATTGCAGGTTTGAGGGTATGGGTGTCTACAACGGAATTTGTGTGCGTGGCTTGTGGTTCCTCACTTCCTTTTTCTGTGTATAATCAAGTCCTTTTTCCGGCTCTCACGCCAACCCCGGCTTCCACGCCCATACTCCGGCTATCACGCCAACCCGGCTTCCACGCCTTCAGGACTCCCACGTCCCTAAATATACCTTTACATCAGGGCCACCACGCCACCCGGCTTCCACGCCACAACTATATTATACACGAGCTTCCACGCTCCACCACGTAGAAGGGCTTTCACGCCCGCGGATAGTTTCTACATTTTGACCGTTGGCAGTACCCAGCTGCTGGCACCTTTTGTTTCCCACTACGGGACCCCGCGCCGAGGCACCCACGCACAAAGCTACTCAACACGCTAGCGTTTCGATCAAGAGAGTGGCCGCTGTGTCTACGCGCGCAAGATGCCGGATGGAGACGGACGACAGCCTCCGGGGGGACAAGGTCATGGTGATCCTTCCCCGGGAGAAGGCACCGGCGATGGAGGAACCAACTATTCGTTCACCGCCGATGCAGAAGAACAAGACAATCTGGGAGGGAGAGCGGCGGCGGGGGGAGATCAGCAAGACTCGATGCGTCAGCTGGTCGACCTTCTCAAGCATGCTTTCACGGCAAACTCCCAGGACCAGGGGCATCGTGCCCATTCAGGCACGTCTAGCGCCCAGACAGTAGAGTTGAAACAGCGGGACAAAGTCGAGGTCCCTGTTTGGAGTGATGATTTCCTCAAAAATCGATCGATGGAGGTTGCGTTGCGGATTTTCACGAGTGCGTTTGAAGCGTGGATGGAGAACGAGGGAGTGGTTGACGCAATGAGAGGCCCAGAGATTCCTGTAGCTGCAGCTCAAGTGAATGTGGATTGGATGAAACGTTCGTTTGGTGAGGAGAGAGTAAAGCAGTCTAGGAAGGTATGGATTTTCATGCTGTCGAAGATCACGGCACAATCTATTCAAGGGCAATTGCTCGCAGCGGAGAGTCCGCAAGCCGGGTACAAAATTTTCTTGGACTACTACCGACGCAGTAAAAACGAGGAAAGACAGACGTTTGATGATCAGTGGAATGTGCTGTGTCAGAGGAATGGAGAAAGTTTGATGGACTACTTTGGTAGAGCTAAGGCGCTTTGGATGAGACTGGTGTCATACGGTGATAATCGTGCTGAAGTGTCCATGTGCAAGCACATCGCTCGGGGTTTTTTGCCAGAATTTGAGAAAATTAAAGAGCGTGTCCTTTTTCACCCCATGTTGTCGAGTGCACAAATGCAGGAGGCGTTGAGGACGGCTGAGCACGAGCAGAGGTACGAGCGGAGGTCTGGAGAGAGAGGAGAGGAGACGAGGCACGCCCTCGTCGCTGCCGGCATGGGCCGGGGCGGCGGGCAGAGGAGACCAGCCATTGTCGGCATGGGTCACGGCGGACCGCAGCAGCAGCAGCAGCAGCAGCAGCCACAGGCGTCGATGCAGCCACCGCAGCAGCAGCAGCGGCAGCAGCAGCAGCAGCAGCAGCAGCAGCTGGGACCGTACATCTGCCAGTACCACGGGCCCAACACCTCGCACGCGACCGCTGACTGTCACAAGTTGCGCAGCGAGTTCCTGGCGAATTACAACGAGATCAGCGCGTACTTGAGCGGCAGGAGGGACGCCGAGGCGGCCGCTCATCCACGAGGCGGATCGCAGAACCTGGGGCGGGTTGGTGGTCCATCAGTAACAGCAGTCGTACCAATTCCAACACGGTGCGGGCTGGAGTCAGGGCCACCCTCATGCGCCTCAGGGGCCGCCGCGTGGGCCAGGACCCGGAGCTGGGGGGCAGATGCAGGGGCGCAACGATGGGGGACGGGGCTACGGCGGCTACGGGCCTCGCCCCTACGAAAGCCGTGGGCAAGGCGGCGGCCGCGGGGGCAATTTCCCGCCGGCCAACGTACCTGCAGGGCAGCTTGCCAGCGTCCCGCGGCCCTTTTTTCCGGCTCACCTGGCCATCGGGGGCGGAGATTCGTTCGGTGGCGAAAGCAGCTCGGGATGGCAGCAAACGTCGGCGCCGGCACCCACGCCAAGCTGGGCCCCATCACCTTCCGAGGCGGGATACGGGTATGGGCTCGCGGCTCACGGGGGGAACCACAGCGGCGGTTCCTACGGCAACGCCGGCGGGGGATTTGGCTTCGGCTATTTTTCCGAAGACGGCGGGCCGCACCAGCAGCAGGAGGCCAACGTAACATACTGCCCTTCTGCTGCAGGTCCTGACGCGTATCAGCCGAGAGTCTACAACGAGGCCTTCTACGTCTCGGAGCAGCCGGCGCCCTTCCCGCAGCAGCAGGCGAGTTTTGAGCAGCAGCAGGAGCAGCAGTACCACGGCGTGCCTCAGGCGGCCTCTTCCTCCTCCTCTCCCTCTCCAGATCCAGGCGACGTTCTACCTCCTGCTGGCGACGCCCCTCTTCGTCTCTTCATGGCACGAAGTGTGTGCCCTCGAGGCCAAGTTTGATTCTTTTCTTGAGTCTGCGTTTGGTTTTAAGGCGTCTGACGTTTTCGTACCTGCTGTACCCGGTGTTGACCCTGAAATGCTTGCGAGTCACGATAGGAATCACTGTTTTTCTGAGCAAGATTTGCACAGGGTTGCTTCTCCGAGTCTGTCTGCGATGTTCGAGAATTATGAGAAGGAGACCGATTTTCATGAGACTGATGCGATTGTGCCCGCTGTGCCTGACGTGGTTGTGAGTACTGAGTCTGATGGGATAATGCATGCTGTCCATGATGTGAGGGTGCCTCCTATGCCTGCTGTGATCGCGACTGCTGAGCCGGATAAGATTGTGCCTGCTGCCTCTGATGTATCTGGAATGCTAATTGTAGCTCGTGTCACCAAGCGTCCCACAGTAGACAAAGCTTTTCTATGCCAACCGTACATGCCGAATCCGAAGGGTAGCGAGCAGTGGCAGGCCGATTCTGGAGCGAGCGCGATGATTTCGAACCAGATAGATCACATGTACGACATTCGCCACTTGGGCCAGGATGAACAATTTATTCAAATTGGAGACTCGGCTCTCATCAAGGTTGCAGCTGTAGGAAGCTTAGACCTTCGGTTCCACCAAATCGGAGCCGACGGGAAACAGGAAGACATAGACATTACTGTGCCAGAAGTTTTGTTTGTGCCCGGGT